TATTTACTTTTATTCGAAAGGCAGATTTACAGAGAGGAGAGACAGAAAGATCTTCCTTTTCATTGGTTCACTCCACAAGAGAGCTAAGTTTATTCGGAGCCAGGAGCCATCCTAGACTGCTTTCCCAGGCCACAAGCAGGGAGCTGGAAGGGAAGTTGGGCGGCTGGGACACTAACCAACCAACCGTTGCCCATATAGGATGCCGGCATGCGCAAGAGAGGACCTCAGCCCCTGAGCCATCGCACCAGGACCGTGCATTTGCAGCACAGATATATTGCTCTGTCTTGGACATGGCACAGCAGTTGTCTCATCGTCCTGGACGCGCTTTTCTCCCCTGGCCTCTGGCTTTACTCGAGGAGGAGACTCCTGAAGGAGCCTCTGCCCCCATTGCCTTCTCGCCTCTTGGTGGCCTGGACTTCCCTCTGTACTTGGTGTTGAACTCCAGCATCTGTTCTAAATGTATTCTCACATAGAGATTTTTGCATCCCATGTGTTTGATGTTTTTTGATTTCAGTTTCCTTTATTCCAAATACTTTATTTTCTCTTGTCAAATTTATTTTTTTTTAAAAAAATTCATTGATCTATTTGAAAGTTACATAGAGACAGAAAGAGGTGCCTTTCATCTGTTGGTTCTTTCTCCAGATAATCAGAGTCGGGAGCCAGGAGCCTCCTCAAGGTGTCCCACTTCTGTTCCAGGGGCCAGAGTACTTGGCGGTCCTCTGTTGCTTTTCCCAGGCCGTTATAGTGAGCTGGGTCAGCAGCGGAGCAGCTGGGACTCCAACAAACGCCAGTGTGAGATGCCAGCGCGGCGGGCAACAGGTCTACTCACTGTGCCACACTGCCAGCCCCTGTGCTTCTGGTTTTTTTTTTCCATTTTATTTAAATATTTATCTTTTTTAAAAGGTAGACTTTGACAGAGAGAAAGAAAAATCGAGAGAGAGAGAGAGATCTTACTTCTAGAGATGATCAGAGCTAAGCTGATCTGAAGCCAGGAGCCAGGAACTTCCAGGTCGTTCATGCAAGTACAGGGGCCCAAAGCTGTGGGCCGTTCTCCGCTGCCCTCCCAGGCCACAGGGAGGGCATACCAGGGCATCCAGGGAGCGGGTTACCAAGCTGGCTCTGCAGGCTGAGCGTGAGCCTACTATGCCAGTGTGCCAGCAAGGAAATGAAAGATCATTAGAGAGAGCAGAAAGTGTGAAAAAACAGCAATGGAATTTTGACCCAAGAGTGTGTCGGTACTAAGGCTTTCCTGGAGTCATTGGCGGGGAGACTGTACAGCTCCAGATGCACAGCAGAGCCATTCTTTATAAATTCCCACTTAATCTCAGCTTTTTAAAGAGCTGCAAATGGCGAAGATGGTCTTCAGTGATGCTGAAATGGTTTAACTTGACCAGCTTTCGTCAGAATAGCTCAGCATCAACTAGGTCAAAAGCACTTGCTGGCTGTAAGTAGTAAAATGATGTACTGTGAAATTTGGATCTAATTTCTAATTTTCTTACATTAAAAAATGGAGATGGTGAGTCTGGCACAGTGGTTCAGTGGCTAATCCTCTTCAAGCACAGGCGTCCTGTATGGGTGCTGATTCATATCCCGGCAGCTCCACTTCCCAAACAGCTCCCTGCTTGTGGCCTGGGAAAGCAGTCGAGGGGGTCCAAAGCCTTGGGACCCTGCACCCGCGTGGGAGACCTGGAGGAGGATCCTGGCTCCTGGCTTTGGATCAGCTCAGCTCTGGCTGTTGTGGCCACTTGGGGAGTGAATCAGCAGATGGATGCCTTTCCAATTAAAATTAAAAATAAACAAAGTATAAAAAGTAAAGTTTAGCTTTCCCACATGCTGAAAGTGAGCATTTGGACCTTCAGTGGGAATCACATTTCTGAAAAAGGTTGTATTTATCTTAAAAACGATGTGACAGAAAAGGGGGAGAGAGTTAAGGAGAGAGAGAGAGACAGGCACTAACCTCCTGCCTGCTGGTTCTTGTCCCAAATGGCCGCATCAGCCAGGGCTCAGTCCAGGAGCCTGGACTCCATGCAGGGCTTGAACGTGGGTGTCTACAGCCCAGACCTTCTGGGCCACCGTCTGCTGCCTTCCCAGGCGTGCACTCGGGAGCTGGCCTGGAGGCTGGCAGCGGGGCGCCAAGCAGCGTGTGAGAGGGGGTGCTAGCAGCCGGGCCCAGCTTTGCTGCGTCACAACACAGGCTCTTGGGCATTGCATTTTATGTAAAAATAAATGTTAAAGAGAGGTGTAGTGTATAATTTTTCATACTGAGTTGCAGTTATGATGTTATGAAGCTTCTAAGAATATTAGCTTCTGTTATTGAACCTGTCGCTACTATATTTCTTTGTTCTTAAGGAATTTGTTCATGTATGATTCGACAGAAGCTTTGAATTGTTACTGGTTTGGCTTCAAGTGCTTTGCTCATTTATTAAGAAGAGTTAGCTTCTCAATCCTTACTGGGACTACCATTGAGAATCGGGTAGTGTGCCTGCTGTTTGATATTTAGTTCTGTGATTTCAAGCAAATATCTCAGTACTGAGTGTTTCAGATTGTCTTTTCTGGAATCTAAATCCAAAAGACAGCTAGAGTAACTATCTTTAGAAGTTGCAGAGAGAATAAGTAGGCAGTAATAAACTAAATTGAGGAAATGGCTGTTGTGATATAACACTAGAAAAAGTGCCATACTATTTTAGAATGTGTTTGTCTTACTCAGTTTGGGGCTTAGGATTTGTAGTGTGGTGTTACAGGGTCATAAGAGCTTCTGTGACACTTCAGCACAGTTAAGCATTGTTGACATAAAGTACATTTGTAAGTACAACTCTAGGATTTTTTTAAAAGGTATTTTTTGCTGTTTTTTTTTTAAAAATATGTAAAAGATTCTAACATGACCTTAATTTTCAAGAAATATTTGAAAATTGTATTAAAACAGGCAGAAAAAACTTGACTGTTTAGTATAACTGTAAGCTATAATAATGAAGTTTTTTCTGTTCTGTTGCCCAATTTCCAGAAAGTATAGTTAATTTGTGTAATATTTGACATGTACAGTAGGGTAAGAAACCCTAACAGTGATGATCGCTCTCATAACACTAGGGGGCGCTCTTGATTTAGGAATTCATGCTTCGAATACTTTATGCTTAGAATTAGGTGTGGAATGAAATTATTTGAAAACATTTTATTGCAAACACAGCATCACCTTCAGAAATAACCTGTTACCGTGCAGTTTTGTATGTCATTTTGTATTCTGATGTTTATTTTTAATATTGTTTGTATTGTTGAGAAGGATGCATGCTCAGGTGGGCCTCTGGCTAGGGTGGGGAGAGCCAAGGTGTGGAGCAAGGTGGGTGCAGCAGTGTTTTTTCTCCGATGTCCACGTGGGGTGGGTGGAGGAGGACAGGGAAGCTGTTCCTTGCGTCAGCACCCAGAGTTGAGGAACAGCCATTTGCTGATGCCTCAGAGACCCCAGCGTGGGGAAGAGTGTTCTGACGGGGTTTCTTGAGTTGTTTTGATAGTTCCGAAGTTGTTGGTTTCTTTGCTCCAGGGTTGAGAATACCTTTCAGAGGTCTGTTGGCTGACCACGTCCACCTTAGTGCATCCGCAGACTCAGGAACGTGTGCAGAGCTTGGCCAGACTTGCCTGATCTGTTCTTCCTGTCCTCTGACAAGGCAGCCGGCGGCCCCCGTTGACCCCAAGGAGCTGGCTGTCATGTCCCCCGTGCATCTGGACATGCTGTCCGTCCCACAGGCACCAGCAAGTGACAGGGCCCAGCCCCGATACACGCCCTCCAAGGTTGACCACACGTTTTGTGACTTTCCCAGTTGGAGAGTCCCCCAAGAAACCTCGACTGGGGTGACCTCTGACTTGGCTCTTGGGTGTGCCAGCCAGTGGGCTTGGTCTGTGGGGTCTGGCCTGCCACCTGTACCATGCCCTCCACAGCGCTTTTCTAGACGGGTTCTCCGTGATCTTCAAACCTCATCATGTATAATATGCTTGATTTTCAGTTCTGTGCTGATGCTCTGCTCCTGGCACATGCTTAGGCCGTGCCTGAAGCAATGCAGCTGGAGTTGAGGCTGAGGGCTGCCGTCAGTAGTGGTACATTTTAGGCATTTGAAAGCAAGGAGTGTGTTGTACTCTCTAAGAAAACAGATCCTAGTCCTTGTCATTGGATTTTAGGTAAGCTCCCCAACGTGTGTGAGAGGTTGAACGTTTTTGTAAGGATTTCATTGAAGCCCCCTATGGACTAAACAAGGCGCAGGGTGTGTCGCTCTGCAGCGCCCGCAGCCCGGCCGGGGCTCTCACGAGCACGGCGCCGCTGTATCCAGGATTGGTGATTTAGCAGTGTCATTTGGATCTTTAGAATTGTGTCATGGTGTGTATTGTTTTACCTTTTTTGTGCTTTATTTATTTACAATTTGATCTTTACTTAACATGTAAGAAGTTTTGCTTCTTCTAAAATTAAAAAAAAAAATTCCATTGGAAAGTCAGATACACAGAGAGGAGAGACAGAGGCAGATCTTCTGTCTGATGATTCACTCCCCAAGTGACTACAACAGTCAGAGCTGAGCCAGTCCGAAGCCAGGAGCCAGGAGCCTCTTTGGAATCTCCCCGTGCGTGCAGGGTTCCAAGGCTTTGGGCTGTCCTTGATTGCTTTCCCAGGCCACAAGCAGGGATGGGAAGCAGGGCCACCGGGACCAAAACTGGTTCCCATATGGGATCCCGGTGCATTCCAGGCGAGGACTTTAGCCATTAGGCTACCGTGCCGGGCCCTGGAAGTTATGCCTTTGACTTTGCCTTGAGCAACATAGCAGAACTGCCTGCTCGGTGTTTCTGACCATTGGAGGGCGGTCTACAGGACTGTCTTTAATCTGCTTCCGTGGATTAGCTAAAAGTCAAAGAAGAGCCGAGGGAGGTTGACGTTTTATTTTTTAGCATGCTGGAGGGCCAGGCTCACTCTTCCTCAATTTCCAGGAAGAACCACATGTTGATTTTTCTTGTTGTTTGTCTCCCAGGTGCGATGCGGTTGTGGCTTTGGCCATGAAGCGGCCAGTCCTGCGTTGCTGTCGCCGTCGGGTCGCGGACTGATGAGGGAAGCATGGCCCTCACGAACGGGCAGGCAAGCAGTGTGAACCTCGCGGCTACGGCTTCCGAGGTGAGCGGGCACGGGCAGCTGTGAAGGGCCTGCCAGGCGCCCTGCAGGCGCTGTGCACGCTCATGAAGACTTAATAAAAAGGGCTATACATTCAGAAATCTTTGTTAAACTCAGTTATGCTGTTCACTGTGTTGTCTGAGAAACAATGTTTATTAAGTACATGAAAAGTAGTAACTACTTAAAACCTTTCATAGATTCTAATTTTTAAAGACACATAAAACTTCCCCTTAGGATATCTTTACATCCACTTCAGAGGGAATTAGTGCACGCGAGGCAGAGAAAGCTCGTTTCTCTGGGAGTGGCCACGTTGTGCAGTGTGGGGCCTCTGCTCTGCAGACTGGCACAGTGGGCAGAGTCCTGCTGGCAGTACTGGAGGGGCTGGCGCTAGGGGCCGTGCCGCGTTAACGCAGGGGTTAACCAGACCAGTGCGGACCGCCCTAGCCTGGGGTGACTCCAATTTCTCTTGCTTTTTCAAAGTTTTCTTTAATAACTGTATATCATCTTTGTTTTTCTCCAGCTTTATTGGGTGAGACTAAGCCGTAGGATCCTTAACCTCTCTTAAGTCCTGGGACTGGCGTGGTGGCAGAGGGGACTGGACTTCTGCTTGGGATGCGAGGCTGTTTGGGTGCCAGCTGCTTCCCTGCCAGTCCAGCCCCCTGCCAGTGGCTTGGGAAAAGCAGCGAGATGGCCGGGTGTGTGTGAGCCCTGGGTGAAGTGTCGGCTCTGGTCTGTGGTTGTTTGCGGAGTGAACCAGCAAAGGGGAGACCTGTCTGTCTATTCCTCTCTCTGTGTAACCCAAGCTTGCAAATAAATAAACTTTAAAAGCAAAATTTCTGAGTTTTTGGCCAACACGTTGCTTAGGTCGTCATGTCATGGAAGCATTGCCGTCTGTATCCCTGGCTTCCCTCACACATTTCATTAAACATTTCTGTTGGACTACACATTTTGCTGTAGTAATCGGGAACACCGAGCCCGCATTGCTGTTCCCTGCATTGCCGTGAGGAGCACAGCGCAGCCCTGCTCTCTGACCTACGTCCCCATGGTTCCGTAGCATCTGAGTTTACGTCTTTGGACAGGCTGTGTTCGCCTTTGCCTTTGCCCCTGTAGCCGTTCGCTCGGCACAGAGACGGCGTGCTGGCAGGACAGCGGTTCTGAGCTCGTGTAGGGTGACCACGGGGTGGCATGCCATCACTGTGGGCATCTCTTGGTTAGGAACGAGTCACAGGTCCTGACCACGCCTCAAGGAAAGAGAGTTTTTCAAGGATGGGGATGGCAAGAAACAGAGCCTGGCAGCCACCTGGGGGCCAGCCTGGGCACCACACTTCCCTGCTGGCCCTTCCATGCCTGCTGCTGCCATCCTTAAGTCCTTTACGAGCTGCCCACCCAGGTGATGGCAATGGCCTTTTGGTTTGTTTTCTTTGTTGTTTCTGGTCTGTTTGACAGAAGTTTATTAATATTCTTAAATTATATCTTTTTTTAAAGATTTATTTATTTTTTATTGCAAAGTCAGATATACAGAGAGGAGGAGAGACAGAGAGGAAGATCTTCCATCGAATGATTCACTCCCCAAGTGATCACAAAGGCAAGAGCTGAGTTGATCCGAAGCCAGGAGCCAGGAGCCTCTTTTGAGTCTCCTATGCAGATACACGGTCCCAAGGTTTTGGGCTGTCCTCGACTGCTTTCCCAGGCCACAAGCAGGGAGCTGGATGGGAAGTGGAGCTGCCAGGATTAGAACCGGCAGCCATATGGGATCCCGATGCTTTCAAGATGAGGACTTTAGCCGCTAGGCCACTGCTCTGGGCCCAAATTATAGCTCTTAAGCCTTTATCTTGTCCCAACACTGTTGGCATTTCCTCCTTGCTTAGTAGCTAATTCAAGCGTCCTTCCCGCCCTGCTGCATTTAAAACTTCTCAGACTGGGGCCCAGCGCAATGGCACAGTGATTAAGGTCCTTGCCTTGCACGCCCGGGATCCCATATGGGCGCCGGTTCTAATCCCGGCAGCCCCGCTTCCCTTCCAGCTCCCTGCCTGTGGCCTGGGAAAGCAGTCGAGGACGGCCCAAAGCTTTGGGACCCTGCACCCGCATGGGAGACCCAGAAGAGGCTCCTGGCTTCGGCTCGGCATAGCATCGGCCTTTGCGCTCACTTGGGGAATGAATCATTGGACGGAAGATGTTCCTCTCTGTCTCTCCTCTCTTTATATCCGCCTTTCCAATAAAAATAAAATAAATCTTTAAAAAAAAAAAAGACTTCTCAGACTGGCCGTACACTTTCCTTGCTGAAGCAGTTTGCTCTTCCTCGTCACCTCCTTGAGGCTGGCATGGTTTTGTATGTATGTATATGTGTCTTTGAAGACTTCTTTATCTATTTAAAAGTCATAGTTAATAAAGAGAGGGGACGTGGCAGAGGCTGAGAGAGAGCGACAGCAAGAGCGAGAGTGCTCCCACCTGCTGGTCCCCTCCCCAGATGGCCGCAGTGAGCGGGGCGGGCCAGGCTGGAGCCAGGGGCTTCTCCCAGGGTTCCTGCCTGAGCGCAGGGCCCTGCCCGCTGGCTTGGCTGTTGCTGCTTCCCAGTGCTGCTCGCTTTCTCATCATTGTCAGTTTATTGCTGATCTTGGGAGAGCAAATCAGAGTGCGTTTGAGTAATTTTTTAAGCCTCTGTTGATGGCGTATGAGAAAAACACGAAATATTTACTCTTGATCAGTAAAATTGCCAGCATGATTTACTGACTTTGAATAAGTTTTGAAAACTTGAAGAAAATCAGCAACTTACATTGGATGTAATGTATTTAAACGACCAAATATTTAGTTGTTTGTACAGCTTTGTGCGTTGCTCCTGTATTAGTCTATTTGAATACTCAGCATTATGCATAAATTGGTTTGTCAGTCTTAGGGTGTAGTGTTGTTGGCCTCCTGTACCCTAGCTGTAGTTAGACAGTTAACTCATGAAATAAGCACTGCATTTTGTTTACGGGCTTTAGGATTCTGCCTGGATCCACTTGCAGGACTTTTGAAGTTGTTGTGCAGATTGATAAGAAGCTGAGCAGACTGGAAATCAGGAACTCTTCTTAGGGCTGTTAGAGGATTGAGGTCCCGGAACGAGCCACGCATGGCTGCCCGTGGCCTAACTTAGCGGGTACAGAGTCTGAGGCTCGGCTTTCCTCACCCTTCACTTGTTAGCTTCATTACTTGTGGGATGATGACCAGGTTCCTAGGAAGTGAGGGGGAAAGTAGCCATTTTCAAGTATGCCCTGGAAATCCTTAAACAGCAGAAGCCAGTTTACTGGAGCCTAGCGTGCTCGGGCGACAGGAACACCAACTCTGAGCTCCCAGGGAGAAGCATGACTGACGGTCCTAGTTCCAGGAACACAGGCTCACTCAGAAGTGAAAAGCTCATCCAAGGATAGGTCACTTCTGCACCCACACCCTTGGCACCACGCCGAGAGGGCTCCTGTGTGACACCTAGAGTACAGCTGGAAGAACTACAGGAACTAGACTCTAAGAAGGTGTTTTTAAAGAAGCCAAAAGCTAAGAGGGGAAGGGGAAAAATACAAGATTAGAAGAAACTGGAGACTCAGACACTTTTACCAGTATCTGATTATAAACAATTCCATCTGACATGTGAGCATACACCCTTACATTAGTGGATTCTTGTTACTATATATCATTGTAAAATGTTTTAACATTGTTTACATAGTGGAGGGTCTCTGATTAGGATGGGGAGGGGGAGGTGTGGAGGAAGGTGGGTGTGATCAATGTTTCAGTTTTTTTTCCCTCCTGTGTCCTCAGGGGAGGAGGGGAGGGCCCGCTCCTTGCTGTCAAACTATATCAGCACCCAGAGATTGTGCAGTCATTTGATGACACCTTCAAGATCCCAGTATGGGGGTTATTTGAGTGGTTTTGATAGTTCTGAAATTGTTGGTTTCATTGCTCCAGGGTTGGGAAAATCTTTCAAAGGTGTATTGGCTGCCTGAGTCTGTGTGAGTGCATCCCCAGGCCCAGAAACATGTGCAAGATTTGGCCAGGAGAGTGGTCTGACCTGTTCTGCTTTCCATCTTCTGACAAGGCAGTTGACAATCTCTGCTAGCCAAGATGAGCTGGCTGTCATGTTACCCGTGTGTATCTGGACATGCCATCCACTGCACAGGCATCAGCAACTGAAGAGGCCCAGTCTCGATACATACATCCCAAGCTCGGACCCCATAGCTTGTGATTTTCCCTGTGGTCAGGATTTGAGTCCAGTGATCTAGCTGGGGAGTTGCCCCAAGAAACCTCACCTGGGGTGACCTCAGATTTGACTCCTGTGTGTGCCAGCCAGAGCAGGGTCAGGTTTGGTTCATCGTGTGTACCAGTCAATGCACATACCAGTGGATATGGGTGCCACAGCCTAGTTGGGGTGACCCCCAGTAGCCCTCACCAGGCCTGCGTCCAGCCCAGTTTTTGTGTATGCCTGTGTGTGCTGTGGTCTAGCCTCCATCTCATGTGGCTCTCGTGCACACCCATGAGAGCTACAGCTTAGCTCAACCTGACTGCCGCCTTGACCAGGCTGGCTCTCACGCAGACCATCGGGAGCTACAGCCCAACAGGGGAGTGTCCACAGTGTCCAGGGGAGTGTCCAGGACTGGTCGTAACCCCAGGTCTTGTGCCAGGGGTTATTGCGGTCTAGCCTGAAATGACTTGCACCTAGTCCTGGCAATTACCAGTTGATGCAGTGGCCCATCCAGACCCGTTCAGACTTTCACAGGTGGGTGCTACAACCTAACCCAGCCTGGCTCACCCCCAGCCCTGGCTGTCATGTGACCTGGTGGGTGCCACAGCCTAGCCCAGCCTATCCCATACACATTCCGGGTCTAGTAAGCACCATTGTGTGCTAGAGCTCAGCCCATCTGGCCTGCACCCAAACTCAGCCTTTCATACATGCCTGGGTGGGTGTCACAGCCTTTCCAGACTGGCCTTCCCCTGGCCCTGGCTCTGGTACTTACCAGTGGGAGCTACAGCCTAACAGCAGAGTCCCTGATGTTCCCCTACCAGGCCTGCTCCCATACACAGATTTTGTGCATGCTGCTGGGTACTTTGATCCAGCCTAGGATGGCCCACCTGCAGTCTCAGCTTTTAAAAGCATGTGTAGGACCCAGTGCGGTGGCCTAGTGGCTAAAGTCCTTGCCTTGGACGTGCTGGAATCCCATATGAGCGCCGGTTCTAATCCTGGCAACTGCATTTCCCATCCAGCTCCTTGCTTGTGGCCTGGGAAAGCAGTTGAGGAGGCCCAAAGCCTTGGGACCCTGTGTCCGCATGGGAGATCTGGAGGAAGTTCCTGGCTCCTGGCTTTGGATCAGCCCAGCACTGGTTGTTGCACTCACTTGGGGAGTGAATCATCAGACAGAAGGTCTTGCTCTCTGTTTCTCCTCCTCTCTATGTATCTCACTTTGCAATAAAAACAAATTAAAAAAAAAAATCATGTGTTGCAGCCTAACCCAGCCTGGCCTGTTCCCAGACCAGACTCACACAAGTGCTGGTGTGTGCTGTTTTCCAGTGGCCCAGTCCATGGTAGACCCCGGAAGTCAGTCATTCCCTGTACGATGTGCCCTCAGCCACTCTAATGCAGCACCCTTCCCCTGGCAGTCTTCAGCCCCCCAACTGGGGGCTGGGGTGGCATGGCCTGCCCAGCCTTCTCTGCCTCCCCCACTTATCTTGGGGGAAAAAAAAAAGGTAACTGCTGTCACACTAGTATAGTTAACACAGATTTGGCCTTCACCAGGTTCAGAATGCCCGCCAGCTTTGGCTGCTCTTCTCCCAGCAGTGTAACATACTTGGCCGAGGTGCAAGGTGACCTGGGCAGTAGTCTGCAGCTGTCGTGCTGTATCTCTTTCAGCCAAAAATTACAAGACACGTTAAATGGCCAGGGAAAAGGACAGACAACAGAACCAGGCTCAGATATGATAGAGATGTTATAAGTATTAGACTAGATTACAAATTGCCAACATGAATATGCCAAGTACTCCAGTGAAAAATATAAGTAACAGGTAAATACAAATGAGTAATATAAGCAAATATATTAAAACTCTTAAAGAGGTGTGAGAATTAAAAACTGTTACAGTAATGAATAGTGCCGTCGATGAGCTCATCAATGGACTCGTCACCAAGGAAGTGCCAGAAGGAATCAGTGAGCCTGGAGAGCTGAGAGTGGAACTAACCAGTCGGAGGAAAATAGGGTTGAAAAAGAAAATGCAGCACCGCCTATAGAACTCTGATCAAAGTCATGAATACACATAGACTTTGACAAGAGAGAAACAAACAAGGAATATTTGAAATATTGAGAATTTTCCAAAATGAATGACAGTCTTTCCTTAGTATATGATAGTAAGCCCATACATAAATGTAGCTGATGCTGAAAAGCAAAAAATTAAAATGGTCCCTAATGTTATGTCCTTTCATCTAACTTAAAATTCCTGCTTCGTTGACCTCTTACACTGTAGCAATTGAAACCTTTTTACTTTTTTGTTGCCTGATGGTCCAGAACACCGTTTGTTCTCCATGTAGCAACAACGCAATTAAGTTCAGAACAGCAAACTTAAAGCAGAAGGCACTTAAGTTTATACTGTAGTAGAAAAAGCAGTACAGTTAATATTACCACAGAGAGACATGTGTTTTAAAAAAAAAACACCAGAAAAGAGAAGAAAGAAAATGCGTAAAGCTGCACCCTGTGATGGCAGTGCCCCTTCTGGGCACGGTTCATGTCCTGCTGCCCCACTTCTGATCCAGCCCTCTACTCATGGGCTGAGCAAAGCAGCAGGAGGTGGCCCCTGGCCTCAGCCTGGCCGTGTGGCCACCTGGGCAGTGAGCCAGTGAGTGGACGCTAGCTCTCTGCTTATGCTGCTGCTCCCTGTGTGATGGTCCCCCTCTGTCGCTCTTCCAAATGAATAAATAAATCTTACACACACACACACGATTGAGTCATATAATTCTGTAGTTAATGATACTCTGTTTTATAAGAAATATGCCCGTTCTTAAACAGAAAGAATTGGCTGTAAAAAAAAAAAAGTTTGTAAGTGTAAATAAACATCCTCTCCTTTCCTGTAGACTTTCCCTTTTTCTGTTTGAGAATCCTGGGCACTGCTCAGGATGGGATTTCTGTAGGAAGTGACTGGTTGTCAGGGTGAGGAAGTATTCATACAGGAAGATGACTGCCTGCCTTCAGATCTGCACATAAGGTTGGCTCCGTCCGGCCGGTGCTCTTCCAAGGAAGCGTGTTACGCTCAGCCTCTCCGTGGTGCTTCTGCATCTGCCGGGGTTGCTTAGGACTTGTGGCCTGTTCAGGTCTGTGAGATTGTGACACAGTGTTAAATTAACTCCATTTTCTTTCAATTTTCAGAAAAGTAGCAGCTCTGAATCACTAAGTGACAAAGGCTCCGAGTTAAAGAAGAGTTTTGATGCTGTGGTTTTTGATGTTCTTAAGGTCACCCCAGAAGAGTATGCGGTAAGTCTGTGTCTCTGGTCTTTGCACTTGTTGAATCAGTTCATAGGAGCAGTGGAGATGACGGACAAAAGCTGGCTTGGGGATTGTTGGGGAGAGTAGCACAGGTCTGGAGCAAGCATCAGGCTGAGGTGGGGAAGACGGGAAAGATAGACTTTCTATAACAGCATCGTAATGACACTTCATTATTGGAAATTATTCGTGTTTTTATGTTAATTTTCTCATAATCTTTAGGCCAACTCTATGTAACTTTTTTATATATAAACATATGAAGTGATTGTTATGTTCTAGATTTTAAAATAGAAATGAAATATGAAGTCATTATGTAAAATCATAGAAAATATTTGGAAAAATTTCATTTGTGACTGACGTACTCATTTGTCTCTCATTCTGTTTAATTTCTGCCTCACTGATGCTGAATCATTCTTGTGTTCTAGGAATGAACTGCTTGGTCAGTTATTCTTGAATGTATTACTTAGTTTTTTTTATATCTATTGCCATAAGTCAACCAGCCAGCTCCATGGCATGTGAAATGATAGTATATTGCTTTTATTATAATCTTACTTTTACAAAGAAAGCCTGGTTATTAGTATAGTTCATATAGAATTATTTGAGGAGCTATAATTTAACAGCCATAATTTAAAAATACCCAGTGAACCAGTTTTCCTGATATTAGTTTGGATTTTGAATTTTGTGTGTTATGATTTTTTTAAAAATAATTTTAAAGAAAGTCACACACAGGAGGTAAGCTGCCATTTCCTGGTTCACTTCCTGAATTCCTCATGGGATAGGCGCGTGCCAGGAGTCAGGAATGAGGTCCCAGTCTCCCGACTGGGGGGCACGTGCCCAGGTCCTTGAGCCTGCCAGTGTCTACATTAACCTGAAGCTACATCAGGAACCAGGGAAGGTTGTGAACCCAAGCACTATAACGTAGGGCCTGGGCATGCTAGCCACTAGCCAAAGGCCTACTTCTGAGTTTTGTTGTTCATTTTCGTTTTAACATTTGACTGTGCACAAATTAATTTTTGTTTTATTTTCTAATTCTAATTTATCTCCCAAGAATGTACAATTAGGCATGAAATAATAGAAATAATTATATTCCATGGTACAGGAGTTAAATTTACATTTTCTGTGAATACTTGTAATGTTGAGTACTCAGTCATGTTTTTTCACCTTTTGTTTCAGGGTCAGATAACATTAATGGATGTTCCAGTATTCAAAGCTATTCAACCAGATGTAAGTAGTTTTAAGAATGATACAGTTTTTTTTCCCCTAAGATCTTTTTATTTTTATTGCAAAGGTAGATTTACAGAGAGGAGAAGAGAGAGAAAAAGATCTTCTGTCTGCTGGTTCACTCCCCAAGTGGCCGCAACGGCCGGAGCTGAGCTGATCCGAAGCCAGGAGTTTTTTCTGGGTCTCCCATGTGGGAGTTGTTGGGCCGTCCTCGACTGCTTTCCCAGGCCACAAGCAGGGTGCTGGATGGGAAGTGGAGCAGCTGGGACACGAATCAACACCCATATGGGATCCCAGCACTTGCAAGGGGAGGATTAGCCAGTTGAACCATCATACCAGGCCCTAGAATGTTATTTTCAATGAAGAAAATGGTGTCCTAAATTAATAGTGTCCTAATTATTGGTGTCCCAGTAATAGTGTCCTAAATTAAAAAGCTTTTGAAATGTCAAATTATCCTTTATATTAATTTTGAGATGTTCAAAGCTATTGGTCTAAGCTCCTGTCTGTCTGTTACTCGGGCCTCAGGACTGTGTGTGCCATCAGAGGTGCTCATTGCTAAGTCCTTCCAGGCATTTTTGGTTGCTTGTCTTCATCACTGTGTCAGAGTGATAGAGTTAAGGTTGAGTGGCTTACACCTGACTAGAACCTCATAAACGGGAGGCGACTAGTCCAGTTGGGTTTCAGTGATCTTTCCGTTTAGGACTGTGTTATGGCTGTGTGTGGACAGTTCGTGGAGAGAGAAAGGATCAAATAAACTGGCATTTTGCATCTGCAAAGAAGAGGCATGTGGTTCGCGTTCAACAGCGTTCTGTCATTTTTACAATTTGGTTTCTGGTGGCAGAGTGTCTTTGACTTAGAGGAGAAAATGGGAATTTTCTTTTTAACAGTGTTGGAACTGGTTCCAAATTCTACAAGCTGTTAATTTTTTCCACTCTTGTCATGTAATAATACAAATATGATTCTGTACCCCAAACAGAATAGTTGATAATCCCAAAATTCTGTGTGGAAAGACAGATGCTTTATTATTATTGGGTTAATTCATTTGAAAGGTACAGTTAGAGAAACATAGACACACACACACCGAGAGGGAGAGCGAGAGAGAGAGAGAGAGAGAGCAGGAAAGCTCTCTGTACCAGGCTGAAGCAGAGAGCCAGGAGCTAAGTGCAGGCCTCCTGTGTGGGTGCCAGGACCCACATGGTTGAGCTGGTGCCTGCCCCTTCCCAGGGTGGGCGCTGGTGGAACGCTGGGGGTGTGGCCCCAGGCACCTGCTGGGGGATCAGGCATCTGAAGAATCATCAGATGCTCTCCCTATTCTGTTTCTTTGGGAAAAAATCTTGAGGGTGCTTTAGAAAATTGCTGGAAAATCTGTATTGTTCTAAACATTTTACAGAAGTTTTCACACCAAAATAAGTTTATTTAATTTTAAGTCCACTTTTTTCTCCACTAAATTTTGAAGCCCCCTTTGTATGATGTATTTATTCTGGTATATAAAATCTTTGATGGGACCCAGTGCTGTAGCCTAGCGGCTAAAGTCCTCGCCTTGCATGAGCCAGGATCCCACATGGGTGCCTGTTCATGTCCTGGCAGTCCTGCTTTCCATCCAGCTCCCTGCTTGCGGCCTAGGAAAGCAGTGGAGGACAGCCCGAAGCCTTGGGACCCTGCACCTGCATAGGACACTCAAAAGAAACTCCTGGCTCCTGGCTTCTGGGCAGCTCAGCTCTGGCCATTGCAGTCACTTGGGGAGTGAATCATCGGACAGAAGATCTTCCTTCCTGTCTCTCCTCCTCTCTGTGTATCTGACTATCCAATAAAAATACAAAAAGGTCAGTGACGGCTCTGAACACCGTGATAGGTGCATCTTGATTTGTGACATAGATGGCATTATTCCTGTGATTTTCATGAGTTACTCAGTGTCTCAGCATCTTAAATGTCTCACCTCTAGAATGAGGAGGTGGGCCTCAGTGGTCTCTTAAGTCTTTGATTGCTTCCTCAATTTTGGGTTTCCCTTCCTTTTCCCCTGCACCTCGAGGGGCCATCTGCAGTCAGACCACTGACGTAGCAGGACAAGGGGAGCAGTGCACTCTGAATAATGCCCCAGGAGAAAATGGCCTCTGTCTTTAGATGATAAAAAAGCAAACAAACCTGTAATATTTGTTTTCTTACCTCCCCGAGTAAAACCAAAGAAACAAAATTCGTAACCAAAATTTCCGTGTTCTTTTTTTTTTTTGGTCCTGAAATTCAATGGTAGTCTTCTTAGACATTTTTTTCCTTTATAAAACTGCAGAATTATGTTTCTTAACAAAACAGTAATGATAAAGGAAAATGCAAACCATTTTTACAACTTACAAAAATCGAAAGAAACAGATAAAATCAATTTAGATTTTTGTTAACTTTGCTACATCCAAGTTATTTTATGTTGTAATCAGTATAAAAAACAGTTTTTTTTTTTACATTCTTTGCAGTCTAATATATATATTTTTTTGCTTACATCTTTATTTGGGATGGGTACATTTCGAGTGCTCAGTAGCCATTTGTGGCCAGGGGCTTCTACATCAAAGTTTCAGGCAATTAGCTACTTAAAGACTGTATCTAAAGGAATTTTCATTCACTTTGAGCATCTGTTAGTACCTGCAATTTAAGTTAAATTCTCTGAAGACAATGCCATGATGTTTTTTAACCTGATGCAGTCTGTCTGTAACCAGCTCCGATCCACATGCCGTTTGTCGCAGTGAATGGCTGTGGCATTCTGGTGGCTAATCTACCTGCGTGCCCTCCGAGCTCCCGAACTCTTCCCTACTCACACCCGTCATTTCCAGGACACAGACATGCTGCTGTGATCCATCTCCGTGGCTTCCTCTTGCCCTGACGATAGGGTCGACAAGTTCTTAGTGCTTTCTCCTTTCCATCCTCATCTAAAGTGTTCTGTGTTTCTCCCTTGTCTAGCTCCGTTAACCTCCTCTACTAAACCCGTGTCCATACTAGTTAGTTGCTACTCATCTTTCAGTTTTCAGATCAAGTTTGACTTTCTCCAGTTAGAGTTCAGGTTCCCTAGGAGTCAGGGAGATACACATGAAAACCGGGGTTCCACCTAACTCCAGTGAGATTGGCCTACATTCAGAACTCTGCTAACAACATTTGCTGGTGTGGATGTGGAGAGAAAGGTACCCTCCTTCATTGTTGGTGGGAGTGTAGGCTAGTACAACCACTACGGAAGCCAGTATGGAGAGTGCTAAGAGAACTAAGAGAACTGAAAATTGACCTGCTGTTTGACCCAGCTATTCCACTCCTGGGGATAAACCCAAAGAAAATGAAATCTGTACATGAGAAAGGAATCTGTAATCCTATATTTACAGCAGCACAATCTACAATAGCAAACACATGGAAACAACCCAGATGCTTGTCAGAAGAGGAGTGGATAAAGAAACTGTGGCGCATCTACTCCATGGAAAACAACTCTGCCGTTAAAAAGAATGAAATTCTACCGTTTGCAATCAAATGGTCCCAACTGAAGACCATGATGCTCAGTGAGATAAGTCAGCCCAAAAGGACAGATATCACGTGTTCTCCCTGATGCAAGGTGACCTTCATGCATCTCAAGGGTTTTGATATTTTCGTTTTTATTTTCATTCATTCATTCAAAAAAACTTGTTTTGCTTATTAATTTCCTGACGGATAGGTCACAAAATAACGTCGTTCGCTTCAGGAAGGCCTTTGATTTTCTTTTCAGCAGCATATTATTCATCGTTCGGTAGCATGTTTGAGTTCATGATGTTGTACGTTTTCTGTTTTTCTCTCATTGATTTTATTTTATGGCTCTTCATTGAAGGGGATGTATAGTAACTGTGTAAGAGAGACTATCATCGAGAGGTGTGAAGATACAATGCAGTGTGCATCTCTTTCTGGATCAAAGATGGACTCCAGTGAAGCTGTTGAATGTATCTTGACAATAGGATGCTGGGCTCTCTGCCATTGTCCATGCTGCAATGTCAGGATACACTTACATAGCAGAATGATGGACTTGTGAAGGACTCTACTGTTACAATGACATGGGGGAAGTTAGTTGGGGTGCACAGTTTGGGGAGGAGCGAAGAAAATCCCAGAGCCTATGGAACTGTATCATGGAATAATAAAATAAGTTGATTATGTAAAAAAAAATTTAACGATTTTTAAATTTTTTATTGGAAAGTCAGATTTTACAGAGAGGAAGATCTTCTGTCCACTGGTTCACTCCCCAAGCGGCTGCAATGGCCAGAGCAGAGCTAACCCGAAGCCAGGAGTCAGGAGCTTCTTCCAGGTCTCCTGCACAGGTGCAGGGTCCCAAGGCTTTGGGCCGTGCTCAACTGCTTTCCTAGGCCACAGAGGGCTGGATTGGGAGAAGGGCTGCCGGGATTAGAACTGGTGCCCATTTGGATCCTGGCTCATGCAAGACGAGGGCTTAAGCCACTATGCTACTGTGCCTGACCCAGGAGTTTCTCTTTTTTTTAAGCTGTGATTATGATTTTTTTTAATGTATTTTATTGGAAAGATAAATTTTTTTTTAAAGATTTATTTTTATTGGAAAGGCGGATATACAGAGAGGAGAAACAGACAGGAAGATCTTCCGTCCGATGATTCACTCCCCAAGTGAGCGCAACAGCCAATACCTTGCCGATCCGAAGCCAGGAGCTTCTTCTGGGCCTCCGAAGTGGGTGCAGGGTCCCAAAGCTTTGGGCCGTCCTTGACTGCTTTCCCAGGCCACAGGCAGGGAGCTGGATGGGAAGCGGGGCCCTGGGATTAGAACCGGCGCCAATATGGGATCCCGGGTGTGCAAAGCAAGGACATTAACCACTGCGCCATCGCACCGGGCCCCTATGTATTTTATTGGAAAGGTAAATTTTGAGAGAGAAGGAGACACAGAAAAGTCTTCCATCTGCCGGTTCATTCCCCAAGTGGCCGCAACGACCAGAGTGGAGCCGATCCGAAGCCAGGAGCTTCTTCTGTCTCACATGGGGTAGTCCCAATGC